TCAAGTTCTCATCCTCTCAAATCCAGAAATCACATTAGCAGTAGCCAGCTCTTAGACTGCATTGCTGGCTACCCCATTAGCAGATAGAGACCCTGTTTTTGACGTTCTGCTTGAGCTTGAGCTCCCAGCCGAAGCGTTGCTTGCTTGATAGAAGTACCATCCCAAGTCATGGCTGATCTGAACGGAGAAGGGAAAAGCAAACAAATCAACTAATGGAAACACCGATTGGGGAGGGGTGGAGAGGGGGAGGAGAGTGAGAAGAACACCCACCGTCGGGGGAGGGGAAGCACCAACAGTCAACGGCCAGATCCCTCTTCAAACGAACTGGCTGGCACAGATCTGAGGAAGCCCATGGCGTGGCGGCGATGGTAGCGGCTCCCTGGTGACGAGCGAGGGTGCGAGTACTCTCTCTCGCAGGTGACCCACCTCTCTCTCTCTCTCTCAGCCCCGGATCTGAGAGGGACGGCGGCATCCACCACCGTGCCTTGGTCTCTCCCCGAACTCCAGCGCACGAGCTAGGGTTAGAAGTGTTTGGGGGCTAAGCAGTGTGAGTGCAGGAGGATGAAGGAGACAGGGCAGCAACCTTGCTACCACGGTGACGGTGTGCTAGAGACGTCGGGCGGTCGGCGATGTGCAGGGTGCCAGATAGCTAGCGGTCGGCGGCGAAGGGAGTGCGTGAGAGGATTTGGGTTTGGGGAATTTGGATTTAGTCGAAGGCTGAATGAAAAAAATAGGAGGAAGAGGCTTGGCGCTAAGTCTTTGGCCCGCACGCGCAAAGATGGGCCGGCCCAATTGGCAACCAACAAGTCGGTCGGCATTAATCCCCGACCAACAGTCCGATGAAGATACAAGCTTTCCCGACCGACAGTCTAACATGAAATATGCAAATATTGCCGACCGACAGTTGGACACGATACATAAGTATTGCCGACCAACAGTTAGTTAGAAGTTTTCCCAACCAACAGTCTATTGGCGAAATTGACTTTTCCCAACACACACCAGTAGGGAAATCTGGTGTGTGGTGTAGTGACGGCACAACACTTTTTCCACACGTTGCCATCACCATCCACAGAACCCACGCCAATTCTCGTATTTTTCCGGCGCTCGGCGCATTTTTTAGGGTTTTCCAGGTCGAAAATCGCAAAAACACTAGCCGGACATGACGCAACGTCCGTTTTGTGTCCGTTTTCGTTCCAACCTTGCGTGGGGGCCTACGTTAGCCGTGCCCACATGTACGCACACTTTGGTGCAATTGCATGCATGCGATCACGTAGCCCCAGTGCAACCAGCTACTTCTCGGTCTGCCGGGGAGTGGGTTCCCAACTACGGTTTTTTTTCTACTCCGTCAAACGTCACGACACTTTTTCA